GCCTGCGAAGTCGCTTCCATGGCCCTCCAAGGAGGATGCTGTAGACGATGAAGACCGCCGCTCCTGGCCCACGACGATACATCATGAATGCGATGCTCCACCGATTCCTAGCTTGCATAGATTAACAAACGCAACTTCAAGAACTGGCCTTCCCATCAAGCACTGCTCGAGCTGGAAGAGGATGACGATGAAGAGCTCTCGGAGCCAGACTGCAAAGGGTCTGAGTCCTGCCCTGCTGCATCGTCTGACTCTGCTGCTGCAGCTTCGGGTTCAGCAGGGGCCGAAGCAGCTGAACTAGACGCCTTCGCCTTCGCTTTAGTTTTGCTCTTGCTTTTTGCCTTACTCCTAGCTTTTGCTTTGGCCGCAGGATTGGCCACTTCTTCCCCCCCTCCCGCATTCTCCGACAACGCATCAAGCTCGACATCAGTCTTGACAACAGCTGGTGGGTCCGAGGTCAACTTCTGCAGTTCAACAAGCTGACTCGCAGGAATGTCCGAGTCTCGCAACGGCATGCGCAAGTGACCCCTTTGCCTGTTGAATCTCTCTGCCTGATTGCACCAATGCTTTAGTGCCGTCAGGCATCGCTGTTCACTTGCTTCATCGGGGCCTTGCAAACTCAAGAACCTTTTGCAACCGCTTCTGTCGTTTAAGGCATGGTAGGGGCACACAGCTTCGATTCCCCCGTAGGGGGGTGCAGCATGCTCATTCTTCCTGTGGAATGCAAAAAATCCCCATCTCGGAAGCCTGGGTTTGGGCTTAGGGGCTGCTTTCGGGGCGGCTGGCTGGGAAGGCTTTGCAGGCTGGCTTGAGCTGGCTGCCACTTCTACGGAAGCTTGCAAAGGAGGTTTGGGGCGCACGATGCCCGCCGATGCTGATGCACTTGCACTTGCTTCTACAGAAGGCCCACTGGGCTCACGCAAATCAAACTCCTGATCTGCAAGCTGGGCCTCCAGCTCCGCCAGGATTTCATTCGTTTCGTCATCGTCCTCGAAAGAGACAGCAGGCACACTATTTGGGGCACGCTCAACAGGCTCTCCAAGTGAAGGGCGCGGAGCTTCAATGCGGGCTCGGCGGGGTCGGGAAGGTTCGGGCAGCACAACCTGTTCAGCCTCATAATCTTCCAACCCTTCCACATCAAGCTCAAGATCTGTCAACGCTAACCCCGCTGGCCGCTTTCGCTTGCGAGAACCTAGGTCTTGCAATGCAGGCAGGACAGGCACACCTGTCAAGATTTGCTCGTAAGCTTCTGCAGGCAAAGCATGTGGAATAAACTCGATCCCATGCTCATTCTTTAGCTTCTCAGCATTCAACAAACACAGCAAATAAGATTTCCTGACAGTCACGCCAGCCGTGTACCACAGCAGCTCCTCACCGAACCTGTATTGCAACGCAGCACGATCCTTGCGAGCGACGGGGAGACGTCGCCATTTCCAGCCGGATTGCTGCATGACAACAAGCAACTGAAACTCATGCATTTCTTCAAGCGGAGCTGGAAGGACCTGATTGAGGGCACGCGGCGATGCCAAGCGATGTCTGAAACAGAGAGAAGCTATCCCTTCTTCAGTCAATTGAGCACCGAAGCCCGTCATCGTCGCTAAACCTTTTGCTACCAGAACCTCTAAGGCATGTTCTTCTCGACTGCCCGCAACCGGAACGACACCAAAGGTGCAACCCTCCATTGCATGGTCATCAACCATTTTTTGCAAAAGGCATGAAACATCATCAGCTGGCAATTCTTCTGTCACATCCGGGCAACACAACTGCAGCTGGGATGGCTTCTGCCACACTTGAACATTCTGCAAAAAGGCATCCACGCCCATGCTACGCGAAATCGCACACAAGTTTACAAGCTCGGCTCCGGAGCCTTCGGAGAGAGCAGAAACCACGGGCACCTCCGCAGTGCCCTCGTTGGCAAGCCTGACAAGCAACATGTCATTCTTATTCATGGTGGCAATGGTACACGGAGCATGTGCTGGCTGGTGAATCCCAGAAGGCCGCAACACGAGCGGGGCATACAGGTTCGTTCCGACGGACAGTACCAAACTGGCATCTGCTGTACACAAAGTGCGGATGTGGGCAGTTGCGTGCTCCCCATACAGCAACTCCAACGAAAGCTGTTCCTTTTCAACAAAACCCTGCTTCTGTTTCTGCGCACGCTGTTTCTTGACAATGTGCCAGTGCTCGGCCGCTTGAACATCCCCGTGCTGCACGGTGGCATCCCTGTAAAGAACCAAACGAAGGGCCGTGAAATACGCAGTTGTGCTGGACTCTTTCTTTGCTTTCAGTGCAACCAAAAGAGGATGGTTGCTGAAACCTGTGAAGTGCTGGACGAACTGCTTGATTCTGCAGGCACACGCAAATGCTTCCAACAACATCGTGAACAAAGGAGGCTGCAAAGCTAGGCACCTGTTCAGTTGGGGCGCCCGCAGTGTGATGGACAACGCCGTCATAGAATGAAATTTGGGCATAACACCGATGTCCTTGTGGGCACCTTCTATGATTCTTTCGGCCACTTGCACAAAGGTCAGCGGGGCAAGAAAGGCTTCCAACATCGGACAGTCCTGGAGAGGAGTCTCAGGAAGCAAGTACCGTTCTAGTTCATCTCGCAGCGGGCCGAAGAGCTCCTGTGCTTTGCTGTGCTGCAACAGTCTTGCAGCTTCGGGCAGCTCGTCCCAAAGCCGGAGTGCTTTGCGCAAACAACCTTTGGATAACTGTGCATCCGAGTGAGTTCCACCAAGGATGACCCAGGGCAAAGCCNNGCCACTCTGAAGCCAACCGACCCCACTGCTCCGAGGACAAACCTGTAGGGTTCTTCGACATGAAATCATTAAACCCAGTCTGAGCAAAAGTCTCTGCAAACGTCTCAATGTGACCAGCTACCAACCCGGCAGCCTGGCAACCCATCAATGGGCACTGGCAGGTAACCTCACCAGGGCATTGGATCTCCTCCCGCAAAGCCTGCTCCTGCCGAAAGGCAGACTTTCCCTGCAGCAGGTTGGAATGACAGGCACAACCCTCGACCCAGCGAAGCAAATGCTGAATCATGTCCCTGAGTGCAATCTGGAGCTGCCAGTACACTAGAAAGTAATCATCTTTGAGAACTTCTGTGATGGCACTACAAGAAAACTCTTCCGTTTCCCCTCCATCCTCCAAGTCGCGAGCATAAGCGACCCCATCCCAGTATTGTCGACAGAACAACAACAAGGGATAGCCCGCGCGCAAGTACCCTGCAAGCTCTCCCCACCTTTCTGTGTGCAGGGTGCCTGAAAACCCTTCCAGAATCTGCTTTCCTTGATCATACTGCGGGGTTCCACGAAGCGCCACCTGCAAGAACCGATCCCTGCGTCTTTTCACAGAGAACAGAGGATGAAGCTTCTTCACACTCGCGATGAACCAGTCAAAATCCATGAGGGCCGTATCTAGATTCAAGCAAGCATTGTGGATTGCATGGCATGTCCCAGGCACGTGAATGGCATTGGGCATCAGGCTACCTTCATGTGCTCTCTCGGGCTCAGCTGTCAGCAAGCCCTCGTCTGCAAAATGTTCATCCCCAGTGCTGCAAAATTGCAAACGAGAAGGCCTGACACACGGCGGCAACACACTTTCGACGCACTGCACCTCACAATCCGGAATACCTGCTTCCACTCCCACGTCGCTGCACCAAGCCACGCATGAACTCAGATAGGCCTGCAGTCCTTCCAAATCCCCAGCCTCCAACAAACCAGACTGCACATGTGCACTCACTTTGTCTATCAGCTTCGTTCTGCCCTGCCCCAGCAACTGCGGCACTTGGGTATGCAACTCAAAGCTATCAAACAGCAGCTGGGAATAGACACAACGCTGAGCTTGCACGTCCTCCGACAAAGCTGCCGACTCCTCTGAAGCTGCCGGGTGCGCACAAAGCCACTTGAATGCTCTGGCCAAGGAAACCACTTCTGCACTGCTGCACATGCGGTAGCGGACATTATAAATCTCCCAGGGCCGCTTGGTTGTAGCATCACCCCACATGTAACGCAGAACCGACCCTTTGGCCCGAACTCTAGCCCGCTGGAAAAGCAACATCGCAATATCTAGTTGCAATCTCCCACGACACAGCTTGCTTGAACTGGCAAAAGCACTTTGAATCCACGCCGTCGCACCGGGCCTCAAACCCTCGGGAATGCATTCTATGAACTTTCGAGCATGTTGCTTCAACCTGCCGCGGTTCTTCAAATCCAAGCTGGCCAAGATCTGTCTTAGGAAACTAGAATCCTCAGCCACTTTGTTGAATAGACGAACATGCGCAGAATCAGGCACCAAAGAATCCCTGTGGGCTGACAAATCCTCGATGCAACGCAAAGTGTCTAGACGCAGTCCCGCCACATGGTCCTCATCCGGCAAAGAAATGGAAAGCTTGGCAAACGTATCCCGCAACAACTCAACACATCTCTCTGCAGCCTCTGCCGTCAGGCAAGCTGGCTGTGCCGGCACGGATGCTCTGACATTCTCACGAGGAAGGAACTCCTTCAGTTTGGGGCACTGAGGCGCCCACCTGCCCAACATTACTAAATGACGCCACTGCTTCGTGAAGATGCATTGCCCTAACCACGGCGGCACAAAAAGTACCGGGAAATCGGAAACATCTGCATCTGCAAGGTTCGGCTCGGCTTCGCCTATCACGCTTCCTACGGTATTCAACTGGCCGCCTGCGGACCCTTGCTGCAAGCATAAGTTGACCGTGGCACGAGACACTGCCTCGCGATCGGTATCATCCAACAAGGACCACTGCTCTATGGAAATAACACCCGAACTAAACCTTGGAACAACCTTCACGCTCCGGGAGCGGCTAGCCTCCCTGTGAGAAACTCGCGCACGCTTCAGAAGATGTGGCATGGTTTCCCAAACAGGAAAGTAATGACTTGTATGCACTTGAACCTGCACAGCATCTAAGGCATTTCCCAAGCAATGCTCTCGCAAGAAGTGGGCTTGCTCTGTCCACCCCGGTGTGCACCTATCCTGATAAAACTCGCCAAAACTAACCGAGACTAAACCCCTAAGAGCATTCGAAGATGAGCCATCTGGAGGACTTGCAGGGCACACACTGTCACAGTCCAGATCTCGGACCTTGCTTTTCACAGCTTCAGGAGAATTCCAAGGCAGAGGGCTCGCAGCTTTCTCGAAACCTATCCACAGCCATTGCCGCAACATGTAACCAGCCTACCACAGACTCAACGACGTACTGCCTTTGCTGTGCAAAGCCTGTTCTGTTTTCATGTAGCATGTCTGCTCTACCTGTGCTGCCTCGCGTCCAGAGCCATGCTCGTTGCGACCGAAGCAGAAGTTCAACGCTGCAAATTTATGTCTCCGAGACATGTGAAGTATTTTGACACAGATCGACAGCCTTGATATGATAGGCCCAAGACTCCCGACACCATTTCGAAGCCAATGCCGTGACTAGTACCGCTTTGTTTAAGTCAGGCAGCCACAAGTAAGGCCACAGGCTCCACCTTCGCTCGGCTACTCTCGTACGACGACACTTGTGCAAGAAAACTTGCAGGTGAATCCTCTGCAGTTGTTGCGTCGTCCGAACAAAGCTTCTCAGCTTCTCAAGCCAGACATAGGACATAGGACGTAGGACAAAAACACGCTAGCTGAGATCACAGAACCCTTGTAGCAGAAAATGCCAGGAATGTTAGCAACGAAAATTTCCCAGGAGCAAGCGCCCGCGAGCTGGATGTTTAATATATATAGATATGTGACGTAGTTCGTAAACTGACTACAGACAGTCGCACAGCTGCACACGAGCATTGTGTGTATTCACACTTCCATGTGTAATCAATACCAATCCTACGTGCAATGATTTGCACGGTTAAGGTCTAAGGGCTTAGGGACTTAGGGAATCAGGGAATCTTTCTTTTTTTTTGTGAGACACAACGGCGCAACGACGGAATGGACCCATGTGGGCAATTCTGTACAGCCTGTACAGGACGGAACAATTGGACGTTTCCAAGCTGAACATCGTCGGCAGCGACCAGCCCAACAGTGTATCTTCAGCATCTGGACTCACCCAACCTCATCGGCCGAGCCGTTCCCAACACAAATCAGGGAGATCCGTCTGTCATGGATGACGAACACACAAAACAAGACCAAATATGCTTTTCTGACTTTCTGTTTTCCTTTATGACCCAAACGAAACCCGGTTTTGGTTTCAGCTTGACATGCATAATCAATAAACCCAAACCCGGGATTGGTTTCAAGGTGGCAGGATCACTTGCTCTACTTTGGCCTGTCCTGCAGAATTTTGTGGTCTTCTACA